TAAAAAATGAATTTTTAGTATATCGATGACTAAATAGATGAAGAACATGAAATAAAAGATGAAGATACAGTAGGTACCTACGTGTCGATTGTTTTTGTTCTCGAAACTGTATTTATGCTGTCACCAGCTATTTTTGATACTTATGTCTGTAATATGAATAAGAAAACAAAATAGAAAAGAAAATGAAAGAAAACTCCTATTTTTCGCAGCTCTAACCGTTTCTTGAATAGTTAGACCTTTGATAATATCTTCACATGGGATTAAAAAATATATATTTTTATTTAGTAACTTCCGTCCAAATTTTGTTTTCATATAATATGCATTCTTCAGCAATACGTAAACTTTAAAAGAAAGTTTAAGAAGAAAAGGTCATTACATGATACGTCTGTTTTGAGTGACCGATTGAAGAGAAAATATCGCGATATGTATATATATATATCGAAAACTGTGTTTCATTATTATAAGTAATCTACGCATTTGAAAACAGTGTTAGTGAAAGACTTTGTTTTATTCTTGTATAATCACCGAACAGTTATTTGACTTCAATCTGTACAGTGGCGCGAGCATTGAATTGAAGCAATGCATGGTAAGTACAATTTTCATTTCTCGTTAGAAACCTTTCAATGATCATATACTCGTAGAGTGAGTTAAAATATCTAGCAAAGAAGGACATATTTTTCTAGTCATATTTATAACAGATATCTTTTGATGGTGAAATGAAAAGATCCGCTCAACATTACCGTTTTATTCTCCTAATGCTTTTTAACATGAACTTGAATAAAGTAACTTAAAGATGTTGTCGCTTCATTCTTCATCCATTTAAATGGATTTGAGACTTCGCACTACTTTCATTTACTCTTGGATAAGATTAAAACAGGTACTTTTTACCGCATAGAGAGTCTGATAAAATGCAAATTGATTTAAATCTGATTGCTAGCCTGACATCATCGAGCAAATACGGCATAGCTTGCACAATACGCATCCGCCGCATCATAACAATTGTCGGAATGCTGGAAGAATCCTAAGATTCCTAAGAATTCTGAGAATCCTAGAATCCTATAATCCTATAATAGTAGAATGCCAGCACCCTAAGAATCCTAGAATCCTATAGTGGTAGAATCCTAGAATCCTAGAATAGTACAATGCCGGAACCCTAAGAATCCTAGAATAGTAGAATGCTAAAAATTCTAGGATAGTAGAATGCCAGCACCCTAAGAATCCTAGAATAGTAGGATGCCGGAACCCTAAGAATCCTAGAATCCTTAGCATATTTGAACCTGACAGACTTTTAAATGTTTCATTTGCCACAAGGGGAATTTTTAGAGAAAATCTGACTTTGCAGCAAAGGAGGAATAATGGACTAGCCCATTATTTTTGCTTTATTTTCTGAATAATGGGCTGGCCCATTATTTTTGGATATATATATATATAGCGGCATTGCGCGTTTGAATTCATTCATTTCAGAAAGTGTTTTGACGTCGTCTGTTTATTGTTGTACAGTTGTTTCTCATAGTTATTTGTTTATTTAATATTTTGCGATTATCTTTATTTAGGATCAATTTCAAACGATTAACGATTATCATCGACATTACAAAAAGGTATTTATAAACTAAGAAAATTCCTATTTGCCCATCTTGAACAGAGTCTCCAGTTGTTTTCTGTTATATATGATGCAACGCTCTGGTTAAGGCTTAGACCTGGAATCTTGTATTCCTTCCCAATTCTATTATCTTTCATAATGGTAAGTGACTATCGATCTGGTTAATCGATAGTCGACCCTTCTTTCACTTCTTATTGTAATTTTTTATCTTTAAAAATGTGTATTTCAATCAACCTATCTCTTTTGTTGAGCGCAGTGATGACGACTGATCTGCTCTCTTTAACTTTTATTTTAGGGGCTGATTTGGTTTGACCTTAGTACACTGCTACGGAGGGAGACCTCTCTAAGAAGAGTAGGCCAACCCGCCAGATCAGTTGTCGCCCAAATGCACCGAATGTATAACAATGCTAGGGCATTGTATAACATCGACATGGGCAGCCAAGCTGGTTTTTCGGTAGCTTAAGCTTCTTCTACTATTCAATTTCCCGCATTCTCATAGTTAGATCTCTTCTTGTGAGATTAAGGTCGATTTTTGTGCATCATTCAAAGCAGAAATCCCATTTAAGAGGAGAAAGAGAAAGCATTTGAAAAGCTTAATTGGCAAAAATGTTAGTAGCAGTTTGAAAGATCAAGCATTAGACGAAATGGTCCATTTTGTTTTCGAAAAGAGCGTAATCATCGTCAAGGTAGTTTCCATCGTTTTCAGGAGCGTCTTCAGCGATAGTTTTATTATCATTAGAGTTTTCTATTTGACTTAAACAGAAATTTACTTTATTTTATTGCTCTCTTTACATCAAAAACTTTCTTAGCGGCTCCTTATTCCTTAGCAGTGATAGATAACGCGGTTTTAAAAGTTAGCTTTCGTAGAAGTCATTTCTTTGCATGAGAAAGATAGAATATCGACAGAATTTCGTTATTCAGGGTGCAAAATATGTTATTAACGAGGGAATCTATCCAAGTAATACCTTTCGTTCATACGTTGATCGATAGAAGATAGTGAGCTAGTAAAAAGCCTAAAAGGATTCGAGTCCATGACTCTTGAAGACTCGGTTGTCTGGAAAACGACTTTTTCAGAAATTCTAAAATATACTCAAAACTTTTTCTTACCGTAGCATGATTATAGCCTGGAAATTTCTGATTAAAATGAGACGGCACCCAGCTCTACATGGCTTTTCTTTGCAAAGTTATAGAATTTACAAGAGAAGTCCTAAATTAATTTCTTCTTATTTCTGTAGCTTTGAGCAACATTTAGGTCTTTTCTTGTAAATTTTATAACTTTGCAAAGACAGACCATGCAGTGCTGAGGGATGTCTCATTTTAATCAGAAATGCGCGGGCTACAATCGTGCATCATTAAGAAAAGGTTTTGGTTATATTTTAGAATTTCGGAAAAAGTAGTTTTCCAGAAAACCGAGTCTTCAGGAGGCATGGGCTCGAATCCTTTTAGGCTTTTTACTAGCTCACTATCTTCTATCGATCGACGTATGACCGAATGAAATCGGAAGGTATCACTTAGATAGGTTCCCTCGTAAGAATTTAAAACTGATGTGAGTTTGTAGAGAATTGAATGCTGTTTCGGAAAACGCATTTCAGCAAATGAAGAAACCCGTTCAGTATCTGAAAAGTATGCTGCTTCTTCGAAACTAATCAAAAGTTTGGCAGTTTCTGACTGAAAAGCGCATCAGAAATTAATTTAGCATACCCCACTCGAAAGAGTCATAAAAACACTTCGGTGACTATCTAATTACAAACACATTCTGTTATAGGAAAGAAATACGTTTGACGAAGATGGAGGATGGAAGTAACACGAGCTTTTCTGATGATGTTTGGTAAATTTAAATTATTAAATGAGATAGCACATACTAACTTTCTCGTGCAAGACGCCTATTGTCTTTCACAGAGCATATTTTCAAGGGAGTTTCCACTACTTTCAGAAAAGTCTTGAGCGATTCTTTTATTTTGGTTATAGTTTTATCTTTAATTTAAACGATAATCGAAGAGTTTTTCAGTTTTTGTTACGAAGAAATCCTTGGCAAGCTTTGGAATACGATAGCGTCAGTGTATGACTCATATTTTAAGACTATTACCACATAATCATAACTTCTACTGCAATTGTCGCCCAGAGCTGCAGAACGTCTCGTTTTGATCCAAAATGTTTTATCCTTTAGGTTCTAAAATCTTTTGTACTTCTTAGAGTTTATTAGAACAAGCCATTTTAAAACAAATCAGTTTTTGAGGACTTTTGGAAACCGATTAGTCATGAACTGGGATAGTGCACCGTCTTTTGATTTGTGTGAGATGCATGATGAGTTATTAGCAGATACGGCTTATTTGGTTGACAGTGATCAGTGCGTTTTAAGTATTAATTCCGCAGAGATGGGTACGTATCTGTACTTTTCTTATTGTTTGATAATGACTTGCATGTTTCGTCTTTAATATAGACGAAAGAAAAACGTCATCGTGCCCGAATTGCTTAAGTGATTGTCACCATATGGACGTAGATTTTTCGAGCCTTTTTGACGAGCACTTTTTGGCTTTGTGCGAGTCAGTTATGTTATCGGGTACGTTCAATGTCTTAGAAATTTATTTTGTGATATGTTTTTCGAGTTTTGTATTATAGAAGATGACTATCTGTTAGATAACAAATATAAACCCGTAATAGAAGACGGTTTGAATATTATTCAAGAGATTACTGAAAGTTTCGAAAGGGACGATGCTCAAGATGGTATTTCATCAGATCTTTTGCCAACATGCTGTTCACTCCCACTGTTGACGACAGATGTGGTTCATACAATAATATTAGAAGACGATGATAATATTGTTTCAATGCAAGATGGTAAATTCACTCGCTTATCTATATTCTCTGTTTGTATGTTATGATTCTGTTCAGATAATGATACACTTTTCATAGAGGAACAAGACGATGCTGAAGAAGGTATGTTCGTATGCCTTAATACAACGTGTTCTTAAAGTTTTTCTCGATTAGATAATGACATAATGATTGTAGAAACCAAATGTGCTGATGCAGAGGGTAAGTGGTTGTTTATCGTTGAGTTGTTTTCTCACATGCTTCTATCGTTTAGATGATGACGTTGTATTCATTGAATGGAAGTGTGCTAGCGGCGACGATGATGATATCATTTTTCTGGAATACAAACCAGCATCTAAAATTGCAGACATTTGAAAGGAAATCTATCGACGTTGTAGTAGTTTGTAGTAGTAGTAAATTATAAATAATGTAATCTGTCTACAGTTTTTTGTCACTTATTGAAATTAGATTTATCTTCTTAATAAAATGACGTGGTCTTCAAAGATCCTTACTGAACTCAGACAGCTCATTTGCTTTTCATTTGTGTGAGATGAATAATGCGCCGGTACAGAAGGTGACTTTTCTGGTGAAAAATGTTAAAATGCGACTCTTCATCAATAAATTTCTCTTTACATGTATTTCTACAAATATTCCAAAAATATAGCTTTGTAGAGCAAACAACTGATGAACACCTGATGTTTCTGTTCAAGTGGAAGAACTTTTCCATAC